AGTGTTGGGTCCACGTCTCTTGCTAGTCCCGACGGAGACTGGCGCTTGCAAGCGACATTTGAATCAGGTTTCTCAGCGGAGGGCTGTACTGACTATACTTTCATTGCATCGCCGGCGCCTGCCGAATGGAGGACTCCGCCTATGCGGCCTCCGCAAGGACTCGGCTCCGAAGTCAAGAGGGATGGGGTACATCAGCGCCAGTGTTCGTGTTTTGTTTACTTGTAATTTCGTTGCGAAAGTAATTGATTGTACTGTTTTTTGTTTTTTCTGAATTAAAATGCTTGTCTGAGTTCGACAGTAAGATGTAAATGCAAATACGCAATCTTCTAATACACTGTAGCTACTCCCTCTAATTTTCTGTTCTTTACGTGAACATTTTTCTGTCGACCGGAGTTTGACCAGAAGTCGACCCCTGATTAGAACGTCTTCCAACAGATTGCGTATTGCGATGATGTTTCAACATTGCAGAGTTAGCAGAGCAATATTCAACTGTTTTCATATTTTCCTCGTATCCGCGTTCCTATCAATACAGGTAAAGTAGGTGGCGTCAATTGAACTCCTTATCGAATATAGTAACAAGCAATACGTGGCAGTAAAAAATAAAAATATTTTCGTCTAGCTGCTTAAAATGTGTCGCATCGTTCCAATTTTCTTTTTCTCCCCAACGAAAACTCTGCTATTCGCGTCGCCTGCAGACACTAGCGTACGACCTTGAGCTACCCCCACCCTCTGAGCTCACGTCATCCCCTCACTCCCTCCTTCGCTCACAACGGCGCATAATTCTAGAAAGCCCTTCACCACTTCTCTACGATTGGCTGAACAGTTCCGGTTCAGCTGACCCCGAGCACTTAACATGAGATCTAGACATTCCATCAGTAATAAATATAATTATAAAACAATTACTATGCAAAAAAACACCTAGACATGTTAACATAAATAATACCATACTAAAATATTTACCTGCACTAATATATACAACTCTTGTTTCAGAAATAACTACTTCCCCCAACAGTGGAAACACGCAACAATTATCCCCGTTCCCAAATCTAACAAAATTGCAACAGAATCAAATAGTTATTGCCCTATAAGCTTACTATCCACTTTAGTCAAACTATTAAAAAAAGGTTTTAAACGTTTAACTCAATTCTTACGAGTCACCAAAAACATACTCCGCGAACAATTCTGCTTCAGCGAAAATATATCCACACCGCACCAGCTCCTAAGAATCAAAGAACGCCTATACTCTTCATTCCAGAAAAAAATTTATACAATAGGAATCAACATAACCCAGGCTTTCGACAGTACATGGCATCGGGTGCTACTACACAAATTAATAAAAATTAGAATCTCATATTATATGATCATTAACACCCAAGGATCACCATTAACCTCCATTCTCATCAAATCTACATCGAAGATTTACCTACAAATAAATTCAATAAAAATTGCCCAATTTGCAGATGACACGGGACTATTTTGCTCAGGACCGATCTACACAAAATGCGCAATACAATGCAACTATACCTTCATCTAATCGATAGCTGGGCCACTAAACTAAAAATTCAACGTAATCCATCAAAAACCACTGCCGAAATATTTACCCTCAGGCCTTCACGCCTCCCGCTCCCTTGACACTAAATAATGTACCAATAATCTGGCATCCACAGAACAACACAATGAAAATCCTTGGGCTCAACATTGACACGAAACTTAACTGGAAAAATGAATACAGAAAGCAAAGTCAATCAAGCAAAAATAAAATTACTGGAATTAAAACCTATTGTCAAATGAAATTACTCTCTACCGTATAGCACAGTCATAATAATACACAAAACCATATAAAGACCCCTCCTTTTATACGCGTGCTCCATCTGAATAAATGCCGGAAAAACGAACATTAGAAAACTACAAATCTTCCAAAACCAATTTCTAAGGATTATAATTAACCAACGCCTCTTGGATTGTCACCAACGACCAACTCCACGAAGCTGTACGCTCGCCAGCAGTATGCTCTGATGAAGGCCACAATACGCTGGCCGAAACGTTAGCCACCATGTCAGTGAAGCGACTCGTCCCGGGTAGCCTAGACAACACAAACTCCGGCCGGGGAGTCTACGCAATCACAACTCCACAGAGAATTATTCATCGAACTCATTGTCAATCATATCAATTACCTTGCCTCCAACTTCGATTTCTCCATACCACAAATTCCCACTTGAAATGCACTCAACCTTGGGTTAAATCTTACACAATCAACCCGAATCCAAAACAAATTTCCTTTTTTTTGTTATTT